AATTTTGCACTTTTACACACAGCCATTACATTTTATGTTTCTGAAGCCAGAATTCTCATAATTTTGTAAGATATTTGTTACTGATAATTTTGTATTTTAGCCTTTATATGAGAAATAAAATTGCTTGACACACCAATATTATGATTATAGAGTAGTTTTCATATGTCTCTATGTTAATTATACCATTATGTTTTGTGCTTTCATAAGTTTTATGTTATTAATTAGTGGTCTTTTTCAGCTAAAAACCCACCTTTTGCACTATAAGGCAGGCGCAAATTGGTAATGAACGTCCATTATCTTTTGTTTTTGCGTCAGATTTTTGAACAATTCCTTCTTGTTAATGAAGGAAAAATCGTGGAGAAATATTCTTTGTTTTTCAGCGGGTACTCTCCCTGCGTCTTGGTTCGCTTCTCTCTCGCGGTGTTGGTGCGTAGTGGTTGAGAGCAATTACGGTTGCAACGAGAGGCGAACAGAATGAGTGTCACCACATTTTTTTCCTACTTCAATGCTAAGCCCAAGAGAAGAAATTGTTTCAAAAATATGAGACAGACAACAGAAAGATAATGGAGCTTCCATTACCCATGTAGGCCTGGCCTTATAGTGCAGACCGAAGGTTGGGTCTTTTATGCTGACGAAAGACACGTAATTAAATAACCAAAACTGATTGGAAAGCACAAAATCGATTAGTCATGGCTTTATAAAGTTACACAACTTAGAGATCATATGAAAACTACTCTATTAAGTTTGATTAATACCGCTTGTGGGTCGAAGTCAATTTTCATGTTCTCATATAAAAGGCGTCTATAAAGTACAATAATGTTTATGCAGTAACATGAGACTAGCGGCTTTACATTCATAGGATGGAGTGCCTTGTTTTCCATGAGAATCTGCCATGATGAGACAGTTCATTTTGGAAGAAATCCTTTGTGTATCCCATGTGGTTTAGACACAAATCATTGTTAAACAGTTGAACCTCGTTCCTTCTTGATAACAATGGGTACGGCAGTAAAAACAAGGAATAATTTTGCTCTCCATAGGAAAGAGGAGATCAAAGGAGAGGGCAGTCAGGAGGAACAGAGGGGGAGTATAAGGAGGCTCTTGGACAAAGGACCATCTGGGGCAGGCACTTCACACAGGAGGGACTTGACTGCAGGGTGCTGTGTCATCATGCTGGGGCCACAAGGACACAACTCGCAAAGACATGGATACCACCACAGAGCACTCAGCACACTGAGGTTTCCATCTACAGGTCTTCCTGATGCCACAGGTGTTGAAGGTGACTCTGTGAGAGTCTCAGTGGACACATCCCACTTTGATCAATCAATCCTATTCTCTCAGCTACTAATGGCCACTTGCATTTGTAAAGTGAGCCCATGCCCAGATGACAGCAGGGGGGACCCAGCAATGTTGGGTGAGATGGTCCCATCAGTCTTTCTCAGGTCCTGCAGGAGGCATGCCTGGCTACACCTTAGCTCCAGGTAAAGGGCCTTAGCTGTGGGATTTAGACACAGATACCGCATCCTCCATTTTCTGGTGGAAGAAGGAGAAGTGGAAGTAGTGAAAGTAGAACCTAGGAAGAAAGAAAATGGACTTGCAAAAACAGATACAACTGAGTCAGTTCTGCAACAGGAATGTATCCTAAATGAGGGGAGAACAACTTGAAATCTTAGGTTTTATGAGACACTGACCTTGGCTGAGGTCCTTATATGTTCTAATCTGAATCCCAAAGACTGTCCCACTCAGTGAGTCCTGCTGAGGTCTGTGCACTGAGTCTGGCCTGAAAATGCTCGGCATATTCCCCTGTGCTTCTTCAGGACTCTGATCCATGTGAACACGGCAGGGTCATTTCTGCCTATGTGACTGATATTTTGCCTAATGTCCAGGTGAGAATGTGTTCATTTAGTACAAGACATTTCTAATTCAGACACTACAGTGACAAGCACAGAGCCACAAAAGGTAGGTCCCAGGATGAAGTTTCTGGAGAGGAAGCCCCAGAATCTGACAGGAAACCAATGTTTATTGGCCACCTGCCCCTGCCCCTCACCTCTTTTTTTAGGCTTCCAAGGTCCCACACTCCCCCCTGGTGGCACTGTGCGTCCACACAGGAGGTTTGTTTCTGGGCTCCCACTTATGTCCCCTCACTGTGTCTCTCCCACAGTAGTACACAGCCATGTCCTCGGCTCTCAGACTGTTCATTTGCAGATACAGCGTGTTCTTGCTGTTCTCTCTGGAGATGATGAATCAGCCCTTCACGATGTCTGCATAGTTTGTTTGTGTTACCACCATCACCTTTAATTTCTCCAACCCACTCCAGCCCCTTCCCAGGAGCCTGGCAGATCCAACTCATCCAGTAGTCACTGAAGGTGAATCCAGAGGCTGCACAAGAGAGTCTCAGGGACCCCCCAGGCTGGACCAAGCCTCCCCCAGACTCCACCAGCTGCACCTCACACTGGACACCTGCAAACACAGACACATCCTAGTCAGAAACTGCCACACACACCTGCTGTTTCTCTCACTAACATCCTCACACACACTCAATGTCTCTAGTTCTCTAGGAATTACCTTGTAACAGAGCAACAAGGAAAACCCAGCACAGCCCAGACTCCATGGTGTGTCTCTGTGTTCAGTCCTGATGACCAAATGGGGACACCTGGGAATGCCGGGGCTGGGGCTCCTCTCCCAGAGCTGCAGGGTGAGGGCTGGGCTGGTTTTCATCAGCAGAGGGAGGGCCCTATCTCTATGTCCCCTGATATATAGCAAGCACTTGTGGATGCCTGAGTGAGGGCAGGGCCCAGAGTAGAGGTAAGTGTCCTGGTGCAGTTCAAATGTCATATTTTAAAGGTGAAACCATACTAAGAGAAGAATTGAGGAGTTTTACAATGTCCTCAAGAGTAAGCGCATACCTAGTGAGAGGGACACACAGCATCTGAGACTGTGCTCCTCACCATCGCACCCAAGTTCTCCTCTGAACCAACTCCAGGACCAATGTGGACATGCCTCATGGGGTCTCTAGTATCCCCTTTTAGTAATGAGGACATGACAGTATTTTTCAGCATTCTGGTGTTACAGCTTCAGGGTTGCGTCAACCTTTGGGCCTCAGAGTCCTCACTACCTCCCCACAGTGTTGTGTGTCACGTGTGAAGTGAACCTCACTCAGCTGAGGGGATTCAGGTTCTCACAAATTGTCACATTCAACTGCTACTTCTTTTGTGTTGGGCCCAAGGCTCATGAGTAGGGTCAAGAAGGAATCCACTGAAGTTTGTCCTTATATTTCCCTCTTGCCAGGCAGGTGCACACAAGCCCAGGTTCAGTCTATGGGGCTGCTACTTGCTTGGGACAGTACCCGCCCTAATGTTTGTGGAAATCATAATGAGAGTGAGAGTGTCCACTGCTGCAGGTGGCCCTGTGGTCATACTTGACATTCACTAGTGTCCCCTCCTACCCCCATTCTGGATCCTTCTAACACATGGCCAGCACTTTGCATTGAGGGTTGCTGTGTGCTGTTCCCTGATGGAGTGACTCAGGCCTGGGCACAGCAGAGTCATTGTCTTTGGTCCCTTGGCCACCCTCAGGCATGTGGTTGATGCAATTGACCTCCCCAGTGTTGAATGCACTGGAAAAACCACAGAAACTGCTTAGGCCTGAGGGACTGAACCTGCCTCCATGGATACACACAAGCTTAGCTGCAAAGCAGAGTTAATGTCTGTCAGCGGGAGAGTGCCTTTCATTGTGGACTGGTCCACAGTCATGGAGACCCGAATTGAGGGGCATCAGACCAGGTCTCGGATTCAGGGGAGCACATTGTATCCCCAGCAGGAGTGATCTGACCTATGAACCAAGACTTCTAACAATCACAGCCTACAATAGCGACAGTAAGAGGAAAGATTTCACAAGTTGTCACCATGGGTGCATTTGAAAGAATTAATCTCATTTCTGCCCCTGATTTCCAGACCCAAGTGCCACAGCACTCTGGAGTGCCCCTTGTCTTGGGTGACATGCAGCCTCCTTCATGACCTAGAAAGCCCTAAAATGCAGTTTTGTTTAGGGAGTATGCTACCTCCTGGAAGACAGTGCCATAAATTTGTGGGTCAGACTCACTCAGAACAATTTGCAGAGACTTGAATCGGCTCTTTAGTTTTTCTATCCTGCTGTGTATTTCTGGGAAAACCTGAACGATGTAGTGTGATTGGACCCTGTGCTCACATCCCCATGGCTGCATCTTGTATTCTCTAATGACAGACAGATTCCTTGCTCTCGGACAGCACCATACATGATCACATGTCAGAGACACACACATCAGAAGCTGAGCAGTGGTTCTGACAGAAGCACTGTGGCAGGAAAAGCAAACTGACATTACAATGCTGCTAAGTTTTGGTTCGGACAGATCACTGCCTCTCAAGAGGGGATGTGGTCATAAGTAATCAACGTGCTACCATGTGGACAGTGGGTGTCCCGGCAGGATGACGCTATGCTGACAGACTGGGGTGATGTATGTCACTGTCAGCTCAGCCAATTAGCAAGAGGACCTAGGTCAGGCTTGCTGGGAGGAAGCTTTGGTCATACTCCATGCCAGACCTGGAGGAGGCGTGATATTGGCACAGCCAGCACAGAAACTGGTAGGGCATCATAGGTTAGGCTCCCTAAAGTCATTGAAATGTGATTTTCCTTCACACTCTGACCCAGGGGAACAGCTTTCAGTTGCTTGGAGATGCTGATGCATTTTCAAGACTAATATATTTGGGGGGGTGCGCTATGCTATTACTAAATGCAGAAATGGATGCTTCATTCCATCTCAGTTGCCCCAAAGTTTTAGCTCATTCCATGATTAACCAAAAAGCCCAAAGTCTACAGAGTCATATGAATCAGATATGCGTGAGAGTCACAGCAAATTCCTCCAGCAGTGAGCCCATAAGGTCCACACAAGATATGGACTTCCAAATTTCAGTAGTAGGACAAGCAAAGGATCAGCATTTCCACTCTAAAAGAGGGATATAGGTAAGAATAGATGGGTAATTTGCCCTAAATGAGTCCAAAATCCAACAGGGAATGAATATTAAGCCTTAAATGTGAAAAAAACAATAATCTCCTTATTTTCCAAGCCCAGCTTCCTGGGCAGGCTGGGGCAGGAAATGAGCCCCAAAGGCTTGCTTGGGCAGCCCCATCCCCCTGGCTTCACAGGGCTCAGAGCACACAG